CTGTATTGCGCCTAGTGTGAACGGAGTCCAGAGCTGGCAGCAGTATTCAAGGATAGGTATTACAAGGGTTCTGAAGAGTGTGATCATCGGTACCGCTTCTCTCGTTCTGAACGTCCGCCAAATCCACCCCATCTGTTGTCTACCTTTTGCGGTTATTGTCGGTATGTGATCAACAAAATTGACCTGATTGTTCATCAACACTCCTAGATCGCGAACAAGTTGCTTCTCTTCGATTTCCGAGCTGTCAGGTGCCAGGTAGCGGTGATCCATTCCAGCTCTTCCGGTTCCTCTGTACCTCAGGACCTCAAACTTGGTCCCGTTGAACTGCATGTTGTTCACTAGGGCCCAGTCATATATTGCAGAGAGGTCTTCTTGTAACCTCTCACTGTCCGTCCTGTCCGTGATGGTCATTAATATCCTGGTGTCGTCCGCAAATGACGATGCAGTGGCGTGGCGAATGACAAAAAATTCGGCAAACGATTCTGCCAGACAGCCCTCATGCAGCTCTCTGTAAATTCGTTCCATGATTTATGGATGTTCTCAACTGCTTGTTTAATGTCGTAATTTTTCCAAAATTCCTCAAGAGTAATTGGGTTATCTCCAGTTGCATCTTCAATGGCTTTCTTAAAGGTTCGTCTCAAATAATATGCTTTGAATGTTGAAATTGTTCCTTGGTCCATCGGTTCAACCAACTCTGTAGTCAGCACAAGTGCCTACGGAATGGGACCTTATTTAAAGAATTATTGGCTGACATTCATATGTTAATATTTGACAAATTTTTTCAAAAGTCGTAACAAAAGTAACAACATAAGATCTAATAAGCAAAAAGTAACACTTTTACGAATGTAACACCTCTGGCTAGAGGCGGGAAAATGATGCGTTGTGAAAAAAAAGTTGCGCTAATCAAAACTGGCACCGCATAGATTAAGGGTAGGTCGCAAATTTTTTTCCGCGGTATTCAAAACCGTGCTAATCAAGGGATTGCTGTTTATACCCCTGCTTTCTCTCCCATCCTACCAAATGTTTCCTTGCATAGGAATATCTGCCTAGACCCAGGAGAGGGCCTTTCATTGTCACTTCATGAAAGTTTGTCCTCTGCACTGTTGGCTCATATGCTGGAATCTTCTTACCCTGGAAGTGTTCACATTTACACAGATGGATCAAGATCATCTGAGGGCTCAGTTTCAGCTGGAGTATATATACCTTCCTTGTCTCTGGCAACTGGGTGGCTGTTGTCTCCAACTCACACAGTAATGGGTGCAGAGCTGTTTGCAATCTCCAAGGCACTGGAAATTGCTGGAAGAGTTTCAAAGTAGACCAGTGGTTATCATAACAGACTCAAGATCATCCTTGTATCTTATCAGAAACACATATCGTCCAGGATACACCTCCATGATATTCAAGATACAATCACTGCTTTTACAGAAGGGCCTCAACTCAGTCTCCCTTTGCTGGGTGAAAGCCATAGTGGAGTCAGGGGCAATGAAATTGCTGATCGCGTGGCTAACCTTGCACATGGTGCCGACAGATCAGCTCGATCAACACTGTGCTTCAGAGAATCATTGTGCCAGTTGCAAAAGTCTTTCCTCATTCAGTGGAAGGAACAATGGCATAGAGGTGGCATCAACAAGCACTGGCCGCTTCCGACTAAGTTTAGAGGAATTAATTATACTGATTATGGTGGTCTCAGTAGGAAAATACAATGTGCTGTAACACGTCTGCACCTTGTCATGCAGGCGTGGGTGCTCACCACGCTCGTTTTGGGATGGCCCAGGATCCAGTATGCCCCATTTGTAACCAGGAAGATACAATCTCACACTTTTTGCTAACATGTTCCAGATTTGCAGTGCAGAGAATAGCCTTTGCTGCCGCACTGGTAGACATTGGAGTACCTTGGAGACTTAGCACAGTCTTGGGAGCTGAGATCCCTGCAGCAGAGCACCCTTGTGTATTTTCTAACCTGTCACAATTTCTGTTGCAGTCTGGCACGCTGGATTCACTCTGAAACCAAAGGAGCTATAAACAATTGATTGATTTATGTCTTGTTCTAACTAACTTACTCTCAGATTCAGTCTACAGATATGAGAAACTTCTTGCTGTGAGACCTGCTGCAGCCCCGTGGAAACCTGCATTTTGGTGCCAGAAGCAGCCAGGGTTGGCAATGATTAAATCAAAATGATTAAATCATGTGATTAAATCACTTGATTTTTTTTATAAAAAAATCATGATTTTTTTATTTTTTCGATTTTTTTGATTTTTTTGATTTTTTTAATGACAAATTGGTATATAAACTTGTTGCCTTTAGTGTGTATTAGGTTCCAATAAATTGAATGTTTTTGGTACAGAGGCATCAAGTGTGCAATACATTGTACGTAGCTAGCTGCTTAGCTAATTCTTATAAGGCTATAAGTAGTCTAACTATTTGACTATTTGTTATATATTGATTACAATATACAATTTAAATGTGTTAGCTAGCTTATACAGGGTGGGGCAGAACTGATTGAACAGTTTTGAGGCAAAATAATAGTAATGGAGGTACCTACATAAAGAAGAAAGTTTATTTGCCTTAAGATTAGCATAACATACCATTTAAAATACTTATGTTTTGAAAACAATATCAGGAAGATGGTGTCTGTTAGCTGCAACACACTGTTGGAGTCGTTCTCGGAAGTTTCCTACAGCACGTTCACACATATGGCGAGGCATGGCCATAACCTCTGCAATAATCCGTCCCTTTAGCTGTGGTAGGGTGTGAGGGCGACTTCTGAACACCCTTTATTTAAGATGTCCCCAAAGAAAGAAATCGCAAGTGCTCAAATCAGGTGACCTTGCAGGCCACTGTAAATCACCCCTCAGAGACACCAGACGTCCGGGAAACATGAGTTTCAAAACATTGAGAGACATTTGGGCTGTGTGGGCTGTAGCCCCATCCTGCTGGAACCACAGGTCTCTCAATGCATCATTTTCAACAATGTTTTCCATCATGGGCTGCAAGAAATTTTGCAACATTGCAGCATAGCAATTGGAATTCACTGTCATGGTTACTCCCTCCTCTGAGAATGACTCCAACAGTGTGTTGCAGCTAACAGCCCCCATCTTCCAGATATTGTTTTCAAAATATAAGTATTCTAAATGGTTTGTTATGCTAACCTCTAGGAAAATAAACTTTCTTCTTTATGTACCTCCATTACTCTTTTATTTTACCTCAAAACTGCTCAATCGGTTCTGCTCCACCCTATATATTGAGAGGTTGAGATTGTATTGACCTTTTAGGCAATTAGAAAGATTTTCCACCCTAATACGAGTACCTCTAATTGAAATATTTTATTTCAATTTTTGAATATGTGAATTTAAAACTAGAAACAAAACAATTACAATTATAAGACTATATATATAATAATTAAATTCAGTGAATGGATATAAAATATTTGAATTGTGCACATGTTTATTTCAAACAGTGTTAGCTTTTCTCATAACTTAAGTCTCGTTTCAAGTCGTATGAGGTTTGTTTGGTTATCGTTCAGTTTATGTTTAGTATTGGTTTATTGGTCTGAATTAAATGGGAACAGTGCAGTCAGTCACTCAGTCACTACTAGTTGGTGTGTATAGAGGGTAGAGTCTGGTAGATTTATAGGACATAAAACTAATAGATCTATTGATAGTGCTGTGCACTGTGCTATCAACTACGTAGGTATCTGTTATGTGACTCTTCAATGTTTAGGAGATCTGCATTCCTGAAGTGTTTTTGTATATTGAAGCAAGTTAAATGGTCAATATTTAGCTCATTATCTTGCTCCATACAAACTTTACAAAGCTAATGAATAGACATCAATAATTGTTTACCCAAATTCCCTAAGTGGGAAACACCACCTTGGCCTGTTGGTCATTATTGAAGGCAATAAGTGCCCTTTTTAGCCATCCATTGTGATCCATATACTATTATTGTTAGTAGGCTAATTGCAACATAAAATATAACCCCTCAAAAAGACAAAAAAGCTGAAAAAATAAAAAAATCAAATAAATAAAAAAAATCATGAAAAAATAAAAAAAATCATTGATTTTTGATTTTTTGATTTTTTTTTAAATCAAAAAAATCGCCAACCCTGTTCTATGCACAGTTTTGTGATGACGGATGATGCATTAATATTTTGTTACATGCAATTTGTTTATCTGAGCAAGGTAGATGTAGTCAAAATTCTTTGTTGTTAATTGATTTTTTTTGTTAACTAGAGCCTTTGCTAACCAAGGCTCTGCTTTAAATGCATTTTTAGGGGTGTCCCTTTTTACCCTGGGTGGAGGTGTCCCTCATTACCCTGTCATGTGGAAATGGCCGCCATTTTTTTCTGGAATGAGATATGCTAATTCTGTTAATAACATTTTTAAGCCAACACCTGTGTGCAACGTAAGTGCAACTAAAATTTTTTAATACGGTGAAAATTTTTTTGCTACAGACCTTAGCAGAGGTAGGTACTTTTCCAAAATCTCACTTTTTGCACTTTTTTTACAATTTTTTTAGAGGTAGCAAATGTATGATTTCTTAACTTGCTTTTTGCTACTTAGATAGGAAAAATGTTAAACTTTATGCCACTATTTTTTGTTTTGCAATATTTTGATTAGGTTAGCTACTACAACATTTCTACAAAATGTTCAGATTCATTTCTATGAAATGTTGGAGGACTGTCCCTTATTACCCCTTATTTTATTCAATTTTCCCAGTCATGCTTATTTGTGAACTTTACATAATACAATCAAATGCAAATATGACCTGTTATAGCCTTCTCCTATACTAATTAAAATGATTGAGTAATTTCTAGGAGCCAACTTGGAAACTTTTTACAAATAATTGCTATCTATATAGTATGCGTTGGTTGCGATTATTTCATTAAAACCAGTTTTTAATGGACATCAAAGAAGAAATATAAACTGAATATAGACAGATAAAAATGTCTTCTAAATTGTTATTTGTTCATTGCAGCTGAGTGATGTTACAGGGGCTCATGGAATTTCCTAGAAAAGAACGGGTGTCATGTTCACTATGTAAGGCAGTCCTGCCTTGCTATGAAAGGCATCCCGAGTGCTTGTTCTGCCGTAGAACCCTTGGCATTGGTTGTCTTCCTCACTGTCAAAATTGCAGGCTTCAAACAACTCAAAAGGCATTGCATCTGGAGAAACAACTCCTTCAGAAGCTTAAGAACTTAGTGTAAGCTATTATGGTATATTTTTTTGTATCCATACTTATCTTCTGTTTCTAATATCATGTTTTTTGCTGGCAATAGATATGTTGAACTTTTTTCAAGTTTTTACAATGTATGCATGGCCAATAAGTTCTAACTTTCAATAGTAAAAATTCACCTAATTAATGTAGCCATCTCATTGTATCAATCTGATTGTGCACAATTGCTAATGACATGTTATGATGTTAATATATTTTTTTGATGAATTTTATTTAACCAGTTATAAATTTTCTTCTACAAGTTGAGAGAAAGCTTAAGAAATTTATTGAACATGTATGTCTATATTTCCAGATTCATTTTCTCAAGGGGCTTCTCAAGTAATGGTTCTTGGACTAAAAACTGTTCATTTCATTTAGTTTTTGATTTGTACTTTCATGGTCTTTACTTTGATTGGGTCATAATGCATGCAGTTCAGTTTTTAATCTTAACATACAACTCCTAAATTTCTGCAGCATGGATGGACTGGATAATGGCACGAATACGGAGATGGAGCAACACTTGTACTTGCAACTCATATCAGATTCTAATGATGTAATCAAGAACTTGTCTGCTGTTGTATCTAATAAGAGTGCAGTACAACTGCAAGCTAGTGTCTCTACCTCATCATTGCAAAGCAATGATGTGCACTCCAATACCAGTGTATATTTTTCTCCTCTTAGAACTGAGAAACTAGAATCCTGCATCCCAAATGATGAAAGCCATGTACATAAGACAATTACCATGTGGAATAAGTGCACTCCTGAAACAAGCAAGACTTCTAGCTTTCAATCAGACACTAATATAAGAAATGTTAATCCTCATTCCTCTGAAAATGACTCAACTTCCAATAATGTTTGTATTGATAATCAATCTCTTCTCTACGTGTCTCCCAGTGATACTTCCAGAGTCATGAGGAGAGAGGATCTTAAGGTCTGTGAAGGACCTTCTATAAGTGATAAAAATACAACTAGAAAGCGATTAAAGGATTTAAAATGGGACCCATCAAGGTGGTATGTCAAAAAAAGGAAAAGGTTGTCTAATTCATTCAATGGAACAGGAAACAATACCAAAAGTAGCATTGCTGCCTCCTCTCGTGACTCCAGTATTAATCAAAATGATACAAACTCAAAAAGCAAAGAAGATATCATCTCTTCTAAAGTCCTTATCATTTCAACACCAAAATTAACCTCAGATGAAATTGAACAATACTTGAGAGGTGGTGTTACGCAACACTCTGTAGCAGAGACAAATCCTACTGCAAATAAAAAGCAGATGTCAAGGTCTGTGGAGTCTCCAGTGAAACCTGACCTTGCTGAGCAACCTGCACGTCACAGTGACTCTATATTGACCAAAAAACATCCTGAGCCATCAAATTCTTTACCAAGGTGGGAAATTTGGATATTGTGTTAGGAAATGTCATATCAATGCATTCATTTTCTTATTTTAAAAAATGAATAATTGAACAAAAAATGTTTGCATTTGTTCTTTGTATTATTATAATGCTGAAGCTCACAAAATGACTATACCATAGGTCTTTGAGTATTCTACAAAATAAATATTTTTGAATTTGTTTGTTTTAAATTGTATGTGAAAAACTGGAATACTAAGTCATTTGCTAACGTTTTCTTATATTCATCCCCTTATAATTTATGAAATACAAATTGTTTTCCACATCAGCTACTTAGCTGGCACTATTAAAACTACATACCCGGTAAATAGTCTAGTTATATTTCCTATTCAATTGTCTTATTCTTGAGCATATTATTTGTTCATTCCTGTAATATGTCCAATACTCTTTTCAGAACAGTAAAGCAGCACTTGGATGGTCCATGCAAGACTCCATCTGGATTTGTCCGTCAAATTGTACGTGATAATTCATCCAATGTTTTCCAACGCCAAGTTCAATTTTCTTGTTTGGATGGAACCATTGCTAAATCAAAAGCTTGTATTACTCAGTTCATCACCCAAAATAAACTTGATAATTTAAAGCCTGAAATGTTTGAATTTGATGCTAATATACACTTACAAGATGATGCTCCTCCAAGCCCACTAGCTGATGAAATTTTTTCATCGCTTATTGACAAATTGCAATCCCCACCAAATTGTGAATCTATAATAGAATCTAGCTTCAACATGGAAGTAAATAACTCATTTGATTGCCATGGATCTCATTCTTCAAGAGAGCCTTCATTTGTATTTTCCACAACTGCACCTTCCACCTCTGTAATTGCGCTTGATAACTTGGCATCTAAACGCCATGAAGCTGAGGTATTGTCATCAGTTGAAGGTGAGAAACTTGCAAAAATAGAACAAGTTTCTGCTAAGCTTCAGTCCAGTGAATTTGAAGATAATGTACTAAGTTGTCATGTACCATCTACAAGTGCAATGTTTCTTGCATCAAGGGTGAATAATGCCAATGATGAACTTGCTAGTGTCACCCCTCTAGTAGAAGAAGAGAGATCATCCCCCTCACATTCTGTTGATCACTTGCTGATTACTGATTATCTGAACACCAGTGAGCCAGCCATCCATTCTATTGCTTCATCAAGCATTGCTGAACCTGCATTTATGCCTCAAATTTCATCAATACGGAGCATAAAATATCCTTCTATTGACTTGGACTATTCAGACTCTGAAAATCACTTTCCCAATTCTGCTCATAGCTTAGGAAATGAGGTAAAAACTGAGGATTGCAGTAATGCTGGAGATGACTCCGATGACTGGTTGGGCAGTAACCTTGTGTGGAAAGATTGCCGTAGGAAAAAGGAAAAGCCATTCCTCTGCAGGAGAATTCTTCCAAAACGGAAAGGTTAGTTGTACGACAGGTTAATATTTTTATTATTTTTTTTTTGTACACTTGAATGATATTTTGAAATTCCTATTTGAGGTTTTCAAAAAATCTTTATTAAATGTTTAAAGCAGAAATTTCAATTTAAAATATATTGAGAATTTTTGTTACAGATTATATTGATTTCATTTCTTCTGTAATTATTTTATTTTTGTACTGCAGTACACAAAGGATGGGGCCCAAGCAATGATCACTTTTTGATTGGTGGGAATTCATTACCTATGAAGAAATTATCTGCCAAGACTGAAGTCACTGCCAGAAAAAGCAGCCAACAAAAACAATCGGATTTGGAAGTTTTGAGAAATATCTCCACTTATAAGAATTCTGTTGCATTATTAGCAGCAAAAAGCACTTCAAAAGCCAAGCAAATTGCAAGAAAAAGAAGAAAATTGAAGCGTCTGAAAGTGGGCATTCATAAGATGCCCAGAAAGTTAGTAAAGATGGTGACCAAGAAGAATTCAAAATGTCAAAAAATATCAAAAGATGCCAATGTGAAATTCACTAATGCTGCGAATGTTTCTCCTTTAAAATGTGAAATTAAGTTTGAGCCTAGTGGCAGCACTAAGCCCACTGTTAGTTTCTATCAATCCACAAAGCATGAAGAAGCTATGGAAAAATCACCTCTGAAGAAGCCAATGAAGTCTTCAGAATGTTTGAAACCATCAATTAGCCCTCAGTTGTTTAATGACATTGGCCAAACAAGAGACAAGTCTGTGTCCTATCTCTCTCGTCAAACTCTAGCTAAGTCAACTCATTCAGAATTGGATCGGGTGGAGAAATCCAGAAACTTTGCAGAGACTGAAATTCCAAAAGTTGGAGTTGCTCGCCAAAATGGTGAGCAACTCAAAGTTGTTTTGAAGAAGCTTGATATGAACAAAGTATTGAATAAGTCAGCCTCAGCTAAGGTTCTTCATTTAGACATGAAAACGGTTGAAATGGGGACAAAGACTATTGGCTATTATGTTCAGGATAAAAAAAATAATTTGGTAAATGAGGAAAAGAAAACGTTGAGCTTTTACACAAAGTTTAATGAGAACGCTGGTAAATCTAGTTCAACTTCATCAACATTGTCTCTTCGTGTGTTCAGAAATGAAATAAAATACTCAAGCCTTGAGACCACAGCTGCAGTTGTTGAAAGTGGGCAGCTTGTTAACTCTAAGGAAGAAGCAGCTGGTGATCTGATGAAGCATACATGTGAAAGTAAACCTTCCTCTTGTAAAACACAACAAAACTTAGCTATTACTGAGAAAATTGTGCTGAAGGCCCCCCAAATTGTCCAGAAGGATGATGCTGGAAATGAAAATAACCGTGAAGCAGCTCTGTACTCTGGTATGGTTCAATCGGGTTCTTGCCCCCAGAATACTGTCTCTGAGAATGTTGTGGAGGTATCTGCAGGAGAAGAAACTAATGCATTTGATAAAAAAGTTGATAACAAGCTTTGTCAAATGAAAAAATTTGCATGTGAAAAGCCTCCTGTTGAGAATGATTACATTTCCAAAAACTGCACTTCAAATGGTCATATAATAAAACTTGTTCAAAAAACAATCACAAAAATTGTTCCAAGTGCAAGGGAAGGAAAGACTAGCATCAAGGAAAATTCTGAAGACCACAATACTGATGAAGCTGATCTCAATGTCTTGAATTGTATTGTCATAAAAAAAGAAATGAAACCCATGAAAATAAATAACTCTCAGGAAATAAATTCAAAGGCCAAACTCTGCACTAGCTCTGAAGTGGCCAATGCGGACACTGCCTTGCCACTTTTTGCCTCTGGTTAGTTGCTCACTCCGTCAGTAATTCTGTGCAATAAGTAATTTAAGCACTAGTAATTAGCTTAGTTGTGAAATTGTATATAAATGTGTTGTAAGAAATTGTAATCTGTGCTAATCATCTACTGTATGTTGGTAATTTTATAATTTTCTCATAAATTCCATAATAATAAAGATTCGGTTGATTTAAAAGTTAAAACATATTTTCTATCAATATCTTGACGTTTTTTATTCATATGATCTGAATTTTGCAGCACCCAGCCCCAGCCGTCCTGCCCTGGAGTGTACGACTCACAACTCTTCTCATGGCAACGAGAATGCTGGTGCAAGCAGTGACTCCTCTTGTCATGGTTTTAGTAATCATGATGATTCTTCAAGTGATGATGGAGATTCAAGTCGCAATGAAGAGAACAGCTTGTCAGCTCTACATGTTGCCCGTCGTCACAGATTTATCAAACGTTACAATAAACAGCGTCTGCAGGGGCTATCCGGCTCCTTCTTTCCTTATGAAAAATTCAAGCAACGTTCTTATGTCTATGAAAGCTTGCACACGAAGGACAAAAAAATTCCTGTGAGTCTAAAAAAATCTTCGAACACCTTTAACAAAACTAACTCTGAAAAGAAGAAATATATTCTCTCCATAAAAAATGAAGTATCTACTCCCAGTTCCAGTTCATGCAGCAGCTCAGAGGATGAAGACTCCGTCTGCCCTGCCCTTATGTTGGAGCTGTTGATGGAGGATATACCTGATGCAGTGCCTCCACGCTCATTCTTTGTTGGGACGGAAGATCAAAATGTTGCTATTGCTGGAACAAACCATTGTGAATTCTCATCAGCATCTCATGTTTCTATTGAAAAGTCTTTGTCAGGCAGTCTGGCTGTGGACAAACATGGCGTGTGTAATAGAGATGCAAAATCCGAGTCACAAAATGCTGAGATTTTTTCTGGAGACTTGGAGATGGAAGACAAGAGTTCTGTGAGTGGTGATGTAGCCAAGAGGCCGGCATCGCCATGTCGACAGGAGAAAACAATGGCACTTGAATGTGGCAACTTTTGCGAGTTGAAAAGCTCCCAAAGCACCAGTTCGTCATCAGGAGCTACTCTCATGCACAAGGTTGTGGAGGATAACTCTGACTGTGGGATTACATTGGGCACAATTGTGACTCCTGTTAAGGAAATTTCTGTACGCGATTGCTCATTTTCTGCTGGCACATTGAAACGAAAAGAGATTATGACAACTCACAAAACTCCAGTAAATGCTCTGCCATTCAATGAGCCATTTGGAAAATGGCAGTTTGGAAGTCACTTGTTTGCGTTTGGCCAAAAATATGAACAAAACGCGAAAAAAGCTCGCTTTTCTTTTGGTGAAACTTCAATCCATATGGATATTACTAACCAGGGTCATGTTTCAACGCGGAATTTGAATACATCTCCGTCTCCAGCTAAGGAGGCAACTGACCAGCTGTCTTCAACTTTACCTGAAACTAAAGTGGATTCTTGTGCTGGGGCGCTGAACATGAATGCACCAGCAACTGTATTGCATCCACCAGCCAAAGTTTCCAATGCTTGGGACTCAGTCAGGGCAACAGGCTGTGAAAGTAACGTCCGTTCTGAGCGTGGTGCTCACCCAAACACTTCATCCTCAGCTGTGAGCGGTCACGCTCACAACATTACTTGTCCAGAAGACGGTCATGTGCGTGATAGGTTGAACACGGCAGCTAATTCTGTGAATGATGGTACCTCACAATCTTCTATACCAATGGAAGAATTTGGAGCAACTAAGGCGTTCAACGATTTCATTCCCGAGCAAACTGCCACGGACGGCGTGCTGACAAACAGACAAGATTTATCTTCCAGTGACGTGATGGTCTCAGAAACACCAAGGTCAACAATTTACGCTCAACTTACAGGTATTGTACGCCACGTGTTTAATTAATTGGCTAGTTAATTAATTAATTTAATTAATTAACTTAATTTAATTGGCTAGTTAATTGATTAATTAATAACTAGTTTTTGTATTTCATGCCTGTATTTTTGCTGGAAAGTCTTCACGGTCCAAGGAGCAGTTGTGATTCATTAATTTCATTAATGCTGGGTGGAAAGTCAGATACTCCTTTTTGTTGCTACTATTCTTATGAAAAATAATAACTGTAAATTTATGTATTTCATAACGTTCATTTCTTAAATATCACTAACAATTATAATAGGATCAAGAGAATGCGTTTAAGTTACATTGCTTTCAAATTAATCATTATGGAATGAGGGAACCTCTGCTAAGTTTGATCTTTGGTTGCAGATGCGGCAGTGGTGCGGCTGCGGCGACAGGCAGCAGTCGAGCGCCTGCTGGCGGCTCACGGCGGCGAGGGCAGCGACCCAGACGCAGCGCCGTGCCATGCGCTCCCGAGTGCTGCAGGTATGTGCAACACCTTTGTAACTGGCATTTGGGGAGTTCGTTTACTCTAGGTATATTTACTAACATAGAGTATTGTTAGTCAGTGATCATGAAGCAATTTCCTTCAGAATTGCATGACGTGCTAGTGAATTTAAAGAAAATGATCATAAGTTTAATTTTGGAGAATCATCAAGAATCTAAGCTACGTACTTTTGCATCTTTTATTGGGGGCGCAGCCATAGGCGACATATTTTACTCTTAAATAAGCACTGGAGCCAACGCCTAGCTTCATCATGCAATAACTTTACTCGGCTTCAGAACTAGAAGCTGCAGACTACGCTTGAACTCCGTAATCCAGACAAGCATTACACTGTCGAAAGATAATAGCGCCATAGGTCTTCAGCCAATGCATGCTCGCTCATAAGCAGGCAGTTCCCCATCCGGCTGTACCTACTCCGGCCTAACCTCTTCTGGCCTAACCTATTCACGCTGTCCCGGCTCACAACCTTCTTGCAGCCAATGACTGGCTCTACCAGCATACTTGGACCGCCTTTCTAACTTCTTGCAGCCAATGAGGTTAGGTTAGGTCCGCTCACGTTTGTTTTGGGTGGAGAAAGGTTGCTTGTATAGGTTAGGCTTGAAGAGGTTGGGCCAGATGAGGTTTGGCCAGAAGCAGTATCGCCATGTTTATCTTTGGCAAGCTTATTTTGTGGCTGTGGACATCCGGCGTTATGGCTTTGAGCACTTGACTTCATAGGCCGTTATGCACTCTAGCGTTCTTACCTATGGAAAGGAATATGAACCAAGTGTGAAGTATGGTAAAGCTTTCCTCCGGCATGCGCCCCCTGTTATCCCGGTGTGCAATTCTTGACGTATTGCCAACATTTACTCTTATCTTGACACTAATTTCTTTTAAGGCTTTATCCCAAATCCAAACCTGTGCAACGTTTTACGAACCTATTCTAAACAATTGCCACGACATGAACAGTTTTCATGTGTTCCTCTATTCGACCACAAGAATAGCATACACAACATCTCGCTCATGACCCAGTCGAGCTCGTGTGTAAATTTCCCACGGAAACGCTCAAACAGAACACGTCGGGAAGTTAAGTCTGTATATTTCTTAGTTGATGAACTAAGAATTCTCACTCGTTCTTGATCTTCTTAGCTAATAGCCTACACTGCATATGCGTGATTTATTTCATTAATGATTGCCTATGCACGATAAGAACTGCTGTGTCATAGATACGTGCCATACATGCTCGGCGCTAGTACATGTGCATACATGGACAAAATGCAATGTCAGCTTGTTGTTGCCATTATTCGCAATTGATTAACTGTTTTAAATATTGTGGAATTCCTGAATTTAGACAACGTATAACAACAAAATCTCAATGGGAGCTCACGAGTGAGCTTCCAATCAGTAGTGAGTGGTAACTTTTACATGCAACGCTGCTTAGATAAAGGGATTTAGTGGCCAAGTTTTCCGAGTATTTCTCTAATTGAAATAGTTTAACAAGAATTACTGACTCGTTTCTAACTCGAGGCCAATTTTCAGCTATTCTTCAATCACCGGTTTCATGATACTCTAATGACGCTCTGCCTTTGCCACTAAAATCGCTGTGATTTAATGCACTAATGAACACTGAGACATCTCGCTCAAATAAATTGGTTAAGGAGATCTTTAAATATTCGGCTTTAGTTAAGGTCTTGTGTCAAGGCTGCTGTAGAACAAAATCATTGGGCCAAACTCCGAACCTTGACAGATTTAAACAATTTTCTTAACTCCAATAAGATAGTAAGTCAATAAGTTCAAAGGGCAAAAAAATAAAGGTCGAACTTTTTAAATAAAGGTATATTTATTTGTAAACTTTTAAAAGGAGAGTGTTTAAAGCATCTTCTTGATGCATTAGCTTATTTCTATTCATTCGACTGGATCGTTCGCTTCTCTATCTGTATTGGTGTTATTATAAATCAGTAAATGAGCTCTTGTTACGAAGATCTTACCTGCTCTGACTAAATTATTAATCAAGATAGAATTAAAAGAAACTGAAATTCTTACGAGTATTGTGTTGTGAGATGACTGTGAGCTGGGAGGCTTTTTATTCAGGGCTTGAGTCTAATGGGTTGCCCGCATTCCACTAATGGGTTGCCTGCATTCCAGTAATGGGTTGCCTGCATTCCACTAATGGGTTGCCTGCATTCCAGTAATGGGTTGCCTGCATTCCAGTAATGGGTTGCCTGCATTCCACTAATGGGTTGCCTGCATTCCACTAATGGGTTGCCTGCATTCCACTAATGGGTTACCTGCATTCCAGTTATGGGTTGCCTGCATTCCACTAATAGATACCTGCATTCCAGGAGCGTGTGCCGACAACGTCGTCCCTGATTTTAGCGCCGAGCTCCGCGACTTCCCCGCTCACTCCGTCTTCAGAAATGTGCTCCCTGCGGACTGCGTCAAGAAGAATCTTCCAAAGCTCATGTTCAGAGACCTTCAAAAGCAGCAGCGGAGTGCCGAATTTATTGCTAATTTTGTCAACTTCAAAGTCGTGCAATTTCGGGATTTAGGCGAAATTTACATGGGGTGGGTGAAGCCTGTGCCGCTTGCTAACAAGGACACTTTGCAAGCAGACAAAGCCACCTATGAGGGACAGGCTTCCGATAAAAAGATCAAAAAGGAGGACACTGTGGTGAGCATAACTGAAGAGGGTCATAAGGCCTCTAATTTAAAAGATGTTCCTGATGACACATGTGTGGAGGCAGTACCTGTCTATGAAGATCAGGTTTCCACTGGTACTTACGCAACTAATACAAAGGAAACCTCCATCAATGTCGGTAACATTGATCACGAGCCTTCTTCTTCAAATAAGTCAGGTGAAACTTCACAATTGGCTATCCAAGAAGGTTCGCTCGAATCTAGTGCCAGCGGTGTTACGGCCGAGTGTAACGATCAGGAGAATTATTGGCAATGGCTCGCTGATGAGCACGGGAATGCCATCTTCTTGTCAGCCCCACCAAGATGCGTCTTGCTTCCTATCACTGCCGATCAGGCAAGACTGGGAGAAGAACGATGTCCTGTTATTTCTGTGGCCAACAAGAATAGAATCAACAGAGATTTGAAAATTGAAAGTGTCGCAAAGAGAAGGAAACTCGGACCGAAATTGATACGAGAGCCAAATGATAAGGTATTAAAAGAGGTGCAGGCCAAGCAATGCTACCGCAATGTTGTTGAGTCGGTATTGTCATACGAGAGACCTGTCAGATCAACAAAACTTAACGCTCTTCGTAAGATACAACAAACTCTGAACCGCATGGAAATGACGGGAACCGATTTGCAAGAGGATCATTGTTCATACGTAGATAATAAGAAAAGGACGCAGTATGAAACGTCACAATGTGTATCTCGAGCTAAAGACAATGCAGGTGATGAAAAAATGAAAGCAATAAAAAGTACTAGAAAAAGGTCGATCTGCTCCACATCAGAATTTAGTGGAAATTTAGGTTCAAGGAATGTAGATCATAACCTGGAGTCACAGAAAAAAAGGCTTGCATTAAGAAATCATAGAGAATTATCTGATGAAGAAAATTCGCCGAAGTTCAGCGGGCGTCAATTAACCAGAAAAAGGGTCCGTGTTATTTGTGATTCAGACTCAGATGATGAGAATCAGGATGGAGGTCACAGCAGTGTTCATGGAGAAACTCCTAATGACCGAATAGTGTCCGCCAGCAATCAGGACGGAGCTTCTGTTTCGGAAAATTCAAGCGTACCTCAAAGCTCTAACTCAGTTGACAAAAAGAAAGAAGTTAATTCCTGCTGTCGTGGGAACATCTCAAATAGACCTACTAATATCATTGAACCCTCCAACATTACTGTCCACGAGTCAAGCGCATCCTATTGCACCCTGAACTCCCAGGATAATGAATCTGACTCAAGATTGGACATCAATGCCATGTTGTCCCAGGTTGACCCCATAGTGGCGCAATTACTGTGCGCTCTGTGTGATTCTCATGAAAATTCACTGAAGAATGCTTCTCCATCTGGCGAAAATATGGCAATTATGGACGCTTTTCAAAACTGGGGTGGCCAGAATGGCATCAAAGCTGCGGTTGATCGAAATAGATCTTTGCAGCTCATTAGGCTGAAGTGTGCCTCGTATCACCAAGGACTTCGTCTCCATAGTCACCATTTGTATAAGTCTTTTGGCGCAGCTAACGCTTTGCTGAAAGATCACCATTTTGAACTGAACAGAAAAATTCACAGCTTGTACCTAGAGAAATTGAAAATAATTTCAAGTCAACAAGCTGCTCTAAGATTATTCATGACCAGGTATGGTGTTCGCAAACCAGATTTTTGTTGCAAGAAACCTTCTCAAGCAGCGTTGGATTATTTGGTGAACATGATATTTTGCCAGAACAATGCTCTTAAGTTAGTGGAGCTCAAGATGCAATCTAGCGTTAGAAAGCTGTCGCATTTGCTCCCGTCGATCAGACGGATGTCCGGCCCCCTCCGCGCAACACCTGCACCGTTATTCGAAGTGCTAGGCAGAAAGCTCGTTCAGCCGTGCTCGGCAACTTCAACTGCTTCTGTGTCCAGTTCGGTGCCGCCAAAAAAACGTCCTGTAACCTCTTCAGCTTATGCAAAATATTCATCCCCCTCTCCATCTGAAGGCTTGCCGAGTTTTTCTTCTGGTTTGAAGTCCGTGGTATCACGTTTTTCCTGTACTGCACCAATAACAAGTACCACCATTGAGCAACGAGGAACTTCTCAATATTCGAATTCAGTTTGCCTGCCTGTTGCTGATGCAGCCAAGAAACATGAAGATACCAAGACTCTTAAAGTTGCCCAAAAGCTTGAAGCCGTCAAGAACCTTGAAACCATCAAGAACCTTGAAGCCACCAAGAACCTTAAAGCCACCAAGAACCTTGAAGTCACCAAGAACCTTGAAGTCGCCAAGAACCTTAAAGCCACCAAGAACCTTGAAGCCTCCAAGAACCTTGAAGTCGCCAAGAACCTTGAAGTCGCCAAGAACCTTAAAGCCACCAAGAACCGTGAAGCCTCCAAGAACCTTGAAGTCGCCAAGAACCTTGAAGCTGTCAAGAACCTTGAAGTCGCCAAGAACCTTGAAGTTGCCAAGAACCTTGAAGTCGCCAAGAACCTGGAAGCCACCAAGAACCTGGAAGCCACCAAGAACCTTGAAGTCGCCAAGAACCTGGAAGCCACCAAGAACCTTGAAGCCGCACAGAAACATGAAGCAGCTAATTTTGATGGTGCGCTTGTCTCGATACTTAGAAAACGACTTGAACAAATGTCGACTTACGCCAATAAGGCTATTCAACCTGAATCAACATCGCGAAGCTATAGTTTTTACCGACGCTGCGATTCACCAAAAAGCGACCCTTCAGTTGGTCTCCTTAGTGATGCTAACAAAGCTCCTATTCCATCGACCTCGTCTGTCGCTGGCGCTTCCAAATCTTACAGTGTGCCTCGACTCACAACATTGAAGGAAGTACCGATGAAAAACACTGGGTATTGTAATACTTTGCATACCCCTGAGCTGCCATTACCTAATTTTAACCCTGGGCCCATTGCTGTCAAGCCACCTGTTGGGCGCCCAGAACAAAGCCTCAACCCTGTTGGTAACTCAGGAATGCGGCATAATATTCAGGTTGATGTTGATCAAGCTCCTGAATCAATTAAGTTGAAGATGGATAAGTTGATGGTCAACAACAACATGGATAAACCTGCCTCAACACTAAATTCGAATGGTGATCCGGTTCATCCTCAAATTCGTTCTTTATCAGTTACTGTGCCTAGACCTTCTATTATGACACCTCGATATCGACCAATTGTAGTGTTGGTGCCTACAACAGAGCCCGAAAATGTTGCTCCTGCTATTTTTGCTGGTACTTCATGTTCAACGAATAACGTGCACAAAGACATGTATTTTTCATCTCCGTATTCTGCTCAGCCAGGAGGTCTCGGTGCTCTTCATCATAATCAAGTGAATAATTCTTCTGCCTCGTTACTCAGTAGACCTGATGTCAACCAGGATGCTGGGGTTCACGCCATTAGCCAGCCGCCTTCGAGGAATATCCCAAATGATATTTATTGCGCTGGACCGCATTTATTGTCTGCTCCCACTTCTAACCATACTGTTTCAATGGAACTCACTCCGTTATCATCAAATTCTGTTAGCCCAGGAGGTCAATTTGGAAGTTTAAACTCTCCCTCCTCATCATCATCTGTTATTGTAAACAGTCCAAAATATGTGTCACCTCAAAGGGACTCAGGCCCTACAAGATTTCATGGGAGTGTTAGGCCTGTTCCTGGAGGGACTAATTGTCCTGTTACTCTAAATGAATGTCGCAAAAATCTTTTTGAGCCTCGTTCAGCAGTAAGTGAGTTCCCTGTTAGTCTCGGTGAAACTTGCGGAAATCACGTTGGAATTCCCTCTACAGCATTTAATAATCCCGGAGCCATTATTGTTGAAAATTACGCTCGTGTTGGTGAAGAAACAATACTTGGCGTCGTTTCTGGTCGATCACCAACTTTTAAACCTGAGCAGCGTACCCATGCTTCAATATCAAACAATGACTTCAATATCAACGATTCTGCCAGAAAAGTATCAGTCCAAAACCAATTTTATGTTGACTTGTCAAAAAGTATTGACAAGTCCAGGGAAAACAACACAACTCTTTTGCACGCTGACCCTCTAGCTCTTTCTTATGAAAAAACTGCTGAGAGAAATCACCCGAGTGGAAATTCATTAACTCGCAATGATTTGAAATTGGTTTCGAATCGCATCATGCCACAACCTTTCATTCCTCGTGTTAATCCTTCTCATTCTATCTTTGGAACTCAGGAATCGATATCTCCATTCCATTCTATGTCTACAAGCAAACATGTAACACAAGGTACTGGTAACTTTGATGTTACGCGCCAATCCACTTCAAATCTCGAACTAATGAAGCCCAGCCAAACCTCCACTCGATCATCACATGTGGCTGTTGTGGACTTGATTGCTTCCGATTCTGAAGATGCTGAAAACGATTTGCCCGACATCGCTTCTTCGAATTTTTGTTTTGAAGCTGAAAAGCCTAACAATAAATTTGAATCGACTCTTTTAGCAGAAAACAAAGGATCGCCGTCCAACGCAGTGAAACCTAATAATCGTGATTCAACGAGTTCCAAAAACAATGAAGCTGATTCTAATATTCACACTGCACATGATGAGGAAGAAGATCCATTTTCAGAAATAGTTTGGCTGGGCAATGTAAATGATAGCAAACCTCTTGATGAAATCTACTCTAAACGAGGAAAACCACTTAAATCTACGCGCCAACGACTCACAAGCCCGTCCAAGCCACTCAAATCAACGCGCCAACAAATCACAAAATCGTCCAAGCCTGAAGTCGACAACCTTCCCAAGGCATCTTCAGTGTTAGCAATCACCTCTAAAAAAGCTACTGCTAGGAAAAGTTCCGCAATGCGTACCAAACTTTTGCGTCAAACATTGCAAGAAAATAGAAACGATTTCTGCGGAGAAATAAATTCTGAGCTGTCGCCTGAGCTCATTGTGCCTAATTCGATTGCAGCTGTCCCTGCGATGGTTGCACCTCCTATGTCTAATTCAAATGAGGGTAATCAAGATATATTTTCGGAGCCGTCATCTGAGGTCATTGTGCCTAGTTCGATTTCAGCTGTCCCTGCGTTGGTTGCACCTCTTATGTCTAATTCAAACGAGGTCAATCAAGATATGTTTTCCAATAGGCTCCTTGAAGCCGCGCGCACTTCGAATCCAATTGGACTGAGCAGGCAGCCAACTTTGTCAAGTTCTTCTTCCACCCAAAATTTATTCGTGAGGCCCCCTGTTGATGTGGAGAATTTTGAAAGTATTATTGGGCTACTTGCTTTCCCCCCAGTAACTATTTATCCTAAACGTCGAACTTCGTTCGTTTACATATGCTATTCGCGCCCTCTCCTTCAAACAACGAATAAGAATCTATCGGTTCCCAAGAACGGCTGGGAGTCAGCTTTTCCTGTTGCAATTGCACCTCCGCAACCTCTTTTATATGGAAATTCATATGTACTTCGAGACTCTGACTACCCATCAGTTCCAACTGAGATGACTGGCAATAATCCAAGTACTTCTTTCAATCGAACACCAGTGTGCTTGAATGTGCCTTCGAAGGATGCTTTTAATCAGATGGATTCTACTAGCCAGTTTATCCATTCAGTACCAAATGCTTCCTTTTTGCCTAATCACTCTCTTCCTCCACTCAACACTCCGAACCACTCAGCACCATGTTTAAATCCTCCCGGTCAAGCTGTTGGAGAGCTTAATGCGTCTCCTAGATTATTTCTTCCTACTCGTCCCACTGGCGGGGCATTGCCGCAGCCTTACCAGCAGACGCCCAGAACCCCACCTCCGACATATGCTAGCCACATGTTGCAGCTAAACATTCAACCTAAATTCGGAAATATTCCTCAAGCGCGCATGCAGACTTCGGCGCAACAGCATAACGCTCTCAGTGGTAGTGCATCTGGTGTTCGACTCCCAGCTACCGCATCAACTAATCATATTCAGTCTAATTCTTACGGAATGAATGTTCACCATGGGAATAATGTTGCCAGCGGTTGTGCATCTGGTGTCCGTGTCCCAGCTAGCGCATCCAAGAATCATGTTCAGACTAATTCTTACGGAATGAATGTTCACCATGGAAATAATGTTCACCATGGAAATAATGTTCACCATGGAAATAATGTTCACCATGGAAATAATGTTCCCGGTAGTGCATCTGCTGTTCGTGTCCTAGCTAGCGCATCCAAGAATAATGTTCAATCTACTTCTTACGGAATGAATGTTCACCATGGGAATAATGTTGCCAGCAATAGTGCATCTGGTGTTCGTGTCCCGGCTACCGCATCCACTAATCATATTCAGTCTAATTCTTACGGAATGAATGTTCACCATGGGAATAATGTTGCCAGCGGTCGTGCATCTAGTGTTCGAGTGCCCGCTACCGCACGCACGAATCATGTTCAGACAACTTCTTACGGAATGAATGTTCACCACGGAAATAATGTTGCCAGCAATAGTGCATCTGGTGTTCGACTCCCAGCTACCGCATCAACTAATCATATTCAGTCTAATTCTTACGGAATGAATGTTCACCATGGGAATAATGTTGCCAGCGGTTGTGCATCTGGTGTCCGTGTCCCAGCTAGCGCATCCAAGAATAATGTTCAATCTACTTCTTACGGAATGAATGTTCACCACGGAAATAATGTTGCCAGCAATAGTGCATCTGGTGTTCGTGTCTCGGCTACTGCATCCACGCATCATGTTCAGTCTTATCCTTACGGAAGGAATATCCACCATAGCAAAGAAAACTGAAAGTGACATCGAATCTACTGCGGCCACCTAATCCGCTGCTCACTCTTATATGGAAAGAGCGTTGATCGTCCGGCTTCAACAATTTATTTATGTGAATTTATACAGAAAGATAGAAATACTCTGCACCAATTTTCGTAAAAGATTCTCATCTCGTTGCTTAGAAAACGGTCACCTCAACTATGAAATTAAAGCGCCTGGAACGCATTGCTGGTTTTGATGGTGTTGAACTGCTTTTTATTGTCACCAACTGATTAACTTAGCCTGTAACCTGAATTTTTGACAACGTCGGGTAAAATTGTTTTTAAAATTTTAGGCTACTTGGTTATCGATTTATTAACGAGCTAGTGGATAGTCAATTGCCTACAACTGGTAAACTTTCTAGTTTCGATTTATTTTAAAGCATTGATAGGAATGTTTCTTTAAAACTGGGCTGCATTGTCATCAGTGGATTGACGAGCCAGTGGATTGATTTTCAATTTCTGGAATGGACGTTTCTATTAACTATGGCTGAGGTTCCACCTAGCAGAGAAATTAAGTTGTATTTAATTTTGTGCACTTTAGGATTTTGTTTTGAGTTTAGTTTTTTGTGAACTATGATTTAAGAATATTTCGTAGCTATTAGCGGATGGTACATTCTTACTTTGACACGTCTGTCTAATTGATACTGCGATGTTGCAACATGGAATATGTTAAACTGTTGATTAGTTAGCCTCTATGTTAGGTAATTGCGCCAGTATCCGAATGCAATCACGTCACACGTAAGTGTTAATAAATCTCGCACTCATTTTAAGTCCTGAATACAATTTTCAACTGTGGGAAGCACATCCTCCCGCCGATATTCATCTCATATGAATGCTAACGAATTTCGCACCCAGTTTGCGTCTTGAATTCATTTTCAATTCTGGGAACTCAGTGGGAAGCACACCTCTTTTAAAGCATGGCTCGGCCAGCCGATATACGTCGTTACTTGAGGCGAGATGAAGATCTGATAATCAATACCGGTGTTGACGACGCTGAGAAGTCTCTTATATTCATAATCCAACAGAATTGATGTTACATCATTAGATGAATGTCCTGTGTAAAATTCTGTTCCTAGTTATGTGATGTTATGCGTCGCACTACCGCAGTCATTATCACCGTGCCCAGCTGTGTTGTAGTGGATCTGTGCTGCCATTTTTCGCTTGCTCATTCCAAAGCGTTGTATTTTCGCCGAATGTATGAGTATTTTATTGCTATGGAATACATATGGGTTGCAAAATCCAAGTGTTGAAACAGTCAATAGATCTGATTCAATGTCTGTGCTCTTATTTATTACGAAGCTTCATCAAGGAATATTTTTGAAGCAGATCTGGTAACTCTTTCTTTTCTCTTGAAACTTTACTAAATACCTAAAAACAGACTTTTGTTGCATTTATTATCTTTACTTCTGGAGAAGTTTCATCATAGGTATTTTTGAAGCTCGAGTGAAGAGAGTACTGTCAGACAGTTATATCGGCCACTGAACTGGCACGGCTCCCTTCATTGCTGGAGATAAGAGTTCCTTGGTCCACAGCGATGGTGGAACTGCTAGTGATGTGCAGGATCTAGCATAACTTTCTTTCCTGTTAGTAAATAACATCAGCACACATTTAGGCGAAAATCATCTTTACCGGTTAGATGGGTCCTGTCAATCACGGCTTGATTTTTCATCGCCATTATAGTAGCTCTAGTTCGACCTACGAGCTAAGCCGAGTACATATCAGGCCTGGATACGCCAATCAGCCGATTCAAGTCTATTTCTGCAGCCATGTGCGAATACTATTAATTAGACGGCCAACTTAATAAAGATCTGTGCATCAAAACTCACTCCTATCATTCTCCTCTCCCTCAACCTCCAAACCTTTTCCAAATATCTCCACACTCTTAACATAGCTGCAGTTGCTCCCTCAGACCTAGTCATTGCAATCCACTCTGCTTGTTCTCTTCTACCCCACTTAGTTGATCTCGCCTCCCTCATTCAGAATCACTATCATAGACTGAAGCTGTCTCATACGCTCCAAATTCCATCAAATGCTCCACAGTTTCCTTCTCATTCCCATCAGTGATCACACATAAAACATTCATCTTCCCCCACCTCTCATTCCATCTATATGTACGTCAATTCACAACTAGCGCCCCTGCTCTCACAGAAAACAGGTCCCCACCTCTACAACCATTCATATTTTGGCATCGCTTTCGTGATAGTCTTGGGAGTGTCCTTTCACTCCATTCCTTGCTTCCACACCTTTAGCCGTCTTTCACTCGCTTTTTTTTCCAATATTTTTTCATCACACTATCCCAATCGCACCCCGTACTGTCACCACCCATTCGGCCTTTGGCTCAGCGGGTCAAATCACAAGCAAATGCAGATGTCTCTGCATTTGCCGTTAACAGCAAATATTGCTGGCATAAAAATGCATACCGGCTAACAAGCTGCCACAATACAGGCGCACCAGTCGTAGATCTAGGACTCTAGGTCATATTCGTGGGATGGTTGCATTTTTACTACAAGCAGCTCGACCTTCAATATATCCTTCCGGCATCGAGATTTTAATACAACGCAGCTATTACCTCAAAATAAGCCTCAAGTAAATGACCATTTAATCAAATATAGCTTGGGAGAAAATCTCTAAGTCGTTTACATATTAAACCTCAATGCATTGTCTTGTGACTTCATAATGAATGAAAGATCTAATTTCAAAATTAACAAAGTGCAATGAAACTCCTTGTTCTCTGGTCCCTTTATTGGGGGCGGGTTTAGTCGAAGAGACCGAAGCCCATGTCGTCGTCGGACTCTTCTTCTGGCTCAGCCGCCTTTTCCTCTGCCTTGGGCGCAGCAGCAGCAGCACCACCAGCAGATGCGGCAGCACCGCCACTTGTGGCTGCCACTACACCACCGCCTCCGCTGGACAATAACCCGCCGATTTTCTCCAAGCCTGCACGAAATCGATGCGTTGAAGAAGGGAAATATGTTATGGCAATTTTTGGCTATGTAGTTGTGTTTTTTTATAAGTAGTGTAGATTACAAGTCATTCAACTTAATACATATGATATAAAAGAGTATAAAGACTGCTAAAATACGAGCTCAAACTGCGGGCTTTGATGGTTAAAATTTGATTACTTACCTTCAGACACAACATCTTCAACCTTCTTGCCACTGAGAGCATCAACAACTTGCTTAGCCAAGGCAGCATCACAGTCCACACCAACAGACCCCAAGATCTTCTCAAGGTCCTTGGCAGAGGGTGATGAACCGCTCAGGGCGGCCAGCAGATAAGCAGCTCCGTAACGCATACTGAGTACTGCAAAATACAGCACAATATATATTTAGGCTGTACAAAAATACACAACAGTTAAAGAATGAATTATTTGAAAAAGTCCAACTCATTCTAGTGAATAAAATCTCAAGCATATCCCTAGCTCAACCAATAATAGCCTCTGCACCTCAGTTAGTGCTCTCCTCTGAATGCTTAATGCAGTTTGCAAGCACTGCAAAGATTTGAACATTCAACCATAATCATTCATCATCATCATCATCTTTGATAGAAATTTCATTTTTTTTTCTATAATAAAATCGTAGATAACTTCAATGTTTTCACTTGGTTAAACTTTTGGAAATTTATTCTGAATGAGTTGCAGCCATCTTGTATTAATTACAAAGAGTTTATTTGCATCACAATCGCAGATGCTTCGAGTTATGATGACCAGATGACATACAAATTACTGCACTTAACTCAGTCCCCACTAATAGCTATAATACAGATCAGAACTTCACTCAGAAGAGAAAATTACATTAGGGCTCAATTACAACATAAAAACAGAGCACTCAATCACAATAGAAATTTGTGATTCAGCTTTGTTTATAAAATTGCCATTTAATGAAGTCTTGATTACCAGGCGCCAAAGGGGCAATGAAATTAATGTTCACAACCATAAATAAATCAAACTTTGATAAATTAATTCTCAGTCCATAACAAAACAATTGCACACCATGACAGAACCAGCACTCTGCGAGCATAAAAAATTATGCAAAACATCCAGGCAAACGCCCATCACAGAGGATCCAGTAGAAGCCATCCCCATTTGAGGCAAAAACACTGATGCTTCAGCTAGCGTTTTGGCAATCATACTTGTGGTCCATTTCATTCAATTTCATAGGCCTACCTAACAGGGTTGGCAATGATTAAATCAAACTGATGAAATCATGTGATTAAATTATTTGATTTTTTATAAAAAATCACAATTTTTTATTTATTCTATATTCAAATATATAGAGTGGCAGTCTTTAATTTATTTTTAAGTATTCTATTTCATGGTTTAGTATAAATGTACTATGACAAATTGAAATACAAACCTGTTGCCTTTAGTGTGTAGGTATTACGTTCCAATGAATTGATGTTTTTGGTACAGGGGCATAATTGTTGCAAAACGTTTTACACAGCTAGCAGCTTAGCTAATTCTTATAAGGCTAAAAGTAGTCTTCAACTATTTGACTATTTTTTATATATTAAATACATTATACACTTTACATGTGTTAGTTAGCTTATAAAAGAAGGATTGGTTTAGACTGTATTGACCTTTTACGTATTTAGAAAGATTATCACCCTAACATGAGTATTCTAATTTAAAAATTTAATTTCAATCTTCGAATAGGTATTTGAATTTATAACTAGAAACAAAAAAATTACAAAACTATAGATAAAATAATTAAATGCAGTGAATGGAAATAAAATGCTTGAATTGTATACATGTTTATTTCAAAGTGTTAGCTTTTCTCACATGCCTTGTTTCAAGTCATTTGAGGTTTGTTTGGTTGTAGTTCAGTTAATGTTTAGCATTGGTTTATTGGTCTGAATCAAATGGGAACAGTGCAGTGACTGCAGTCGGTCACTCAGTCACTATTAGTTGGTGTGTTTAGACGATAGATTTATAGGACATGAAACTAGTAGATCTATTTTGAGAGTGTTGTGCACTGTGCTATCAGCTACCTAAATGTGACTCTTCAATGTTTGGAAGATCTGTATTCCTGAAGTGTTTTTGTTTATCGAAGCCAGTTAAATGTTCAGCTCGTTACCTTGCTCCGTACAAACTTTACAAAGTTAATGAAAAATCTTACCAATAATTGTTTACCCAAAAGCAGGGTTGGCAATGATTAAATCAAAATGATTAAATCATGTGATTAAATAACTTGATTTTTTTATAAAAAAATCATGATTTTTTTCTATTTTTTTTTATTTTTTCATATATTTAAATATATTGAGTGGCAGTCTTTAATTTATATTGAGGTATTGTTATTCATGGTTTAGTATAAATGTACTATGAATGACAAATTTGTACATAAACTTGTTGCCTTTAGTGTGTATTAGGTTCCAATAAATTGAATTTTTTTGGTACAGAGCCATCAAGAGTGCAATACATTGTACGTAGCTAACAGCTTAGCTAATTCTTATACGGCTATAAGTAGTCTTTAACTATTTGACTATTTGTTACCTATATATTGATTACAATATACAATTTAAATGTGTTAGCTAGCTTATACAGGGTGAGGCAGAACTGATTGAACAGTTTTGGGGCGAAATAAAAGAGTAATGGAGGTACATAAAGAAGAAAGTTTATTTTTCTCAAGATTAGCATAACATACCATTTAAAATACTTATGTTTTGCAAACAATATCAGGAAAATGGGGTTTGTTAGCTGCATCACACTGTTGGAGTCATTCTCAGAAGTTTTCTACAGCACGTTCACACATATGGCGAGGTATGGCCATAACCTCTGCTGCAATAATCTGTTCCCTTAACTGTGGTAGGGTGTGAAGGCAACTTCTGAACTACTCTTTTAGATGTCCCCAAAGAAAGAAATTGCAAATGCTCAAATCAGGTGACCTCACAGGCCAGTGTAAATCACCCCTCAGAGACACCAGACCTCTGGGAAACATGTGTTTCAAAACATTGGGTGACATTCGAGCTGTGTGAGCTGTAGCCCCATCCTGCTGGAACCACATGTCTTGCAATGCTTCATTTTCAACAATGTTTTCCATCATGGGCTGCAAGAAATAGCATAGCGATCGGAATTCACTATCACGGTTACTCCCTCCTCCGAAAACGACTCCAACAGTGTGTTGCAGCTAAAGGCCCTATCTTCCAGATATTGTTTTCAAAACATAAGTATTCTTAATGGTATATTATGCTAACTTCTAGGAATATAAACTTTCTTCTTTATGTACCTCCATTACTCTTTTATTTTACCTCAAAACTGCTCAATCGGTTCTCCCCCACCCTGTATATTGAGAGGTAGTATTGATTTTTTAGGCAATTAGAAAGATTTTAATGTTTAGGAGATCTGCATTCCTGAAGTGTTATTGTATATTGAAGCCAGTTAAATGGTCAATATTTAGCTCATTACCTTGCTCCATACAAACTTTACAAAGCTAATGAATAGACATAGTACCAATAATTGTTTACCCAAAAATCCCTAAGTGGTAAACACCACCTTGGCCTGTTGACCATTATTGGAGGCAATAAGTGCCCTTTTTAGCCATCCATTATGATCCATATACTGTTATTGTTAATAGGCTAATTGCAACATAAAAAATAACACTTCAAAAAGACAAAAAAGTTGAAAAAATCAAAAAAATCAAATAAATCAAAAAGATCGTTGATTTTTGATTTTTTTGATTTTAAAAAAAAATAAAAAAATCACCAACCCTGCCCAAAAGCCCCAAGTGGTTAACACCACCTTGGCCATTCTTGAAAAATTATCTATATATACAGATTTAATTTCAAGTAATCTTTGTACATATTGTTAACAAATTGCTTTACGCAAAACTAGAGCATGCACAGACATGTGGTTTGCTGCATTAGACACGCCTTTTCGGCAACCAAAATGAGACTAAGAAAAAGAAGAAGCCAAAATTTGCTATCTCTAACTGAGACAGTTCCTCTTAAATTGTTAAGGGGGTTGTTTGCCCAAAACCACCTCTGTACATTTATTTATGCGTTCACCACAGATCTCAAAAGGGTTAGGGGAGTTGTTCTCCAACAGTTAACCTAGGTGGAAATTCACAGTGCCCGCAGTGCACTTAAAGTGCACCAGGCTGCAGTCGTGCAGGATGGTTCTCATGCAGTTGTTTGCACCATCCTTGACAGAAATTGAGCTCCAGTATCATCAAGTCTTGCATCCTTGAATGCCTATTTTGAGGTGCATTGACTTTGTCACGCTTTACTGAACATTCACACTTATTGTCATTGCAAACCCATCTCCTCCTAGAGTTTTTAACCTACAGCCATGACTCCATGAGAATATACCATTCAATTTGCAAATAAAAGATCTATTGATTTATAGTAGTTTTTTTCAATTTTGTTATAGTTTTGAAAAAATTTTGTAAAATGGGGGGAATAGAAGAAAATGGAAAATGTTCAAAATTTTACAAAAAGCTCACCACCCACAAAAATTTGAATTTAAAAAAAAGCTACAATAAATCAATAGCTATGGCCTGTGCACATCGAATGATATGTGTCTTAATGTTATAGCTTGAAAATACTATGAGGAGATAGTTTTCTACAGCAGGGTAAACACACCATATTCCAATACCAGTACCTTAAGGACATAGCAAGAAATAAATGGCTATAAATAGATCACAGTATGTGCAACTCAAGTTCTGATTGGTTTAAGTCACTCTCAAAACACCACACTACGTCCTAGCAATGATGAAACGTCACAAACTGTTGCCATGTTTATTTAGAAGCCGTTAGAATTCAAATCAACAAAATCGCTGAATTCCGACACCCTGTGTTGGAATTCCGATACCCTCTGAGTCTGAGTCTAATTCTGAGCTGTGTCAGAATTAGGGTATTACTTTAGATTAAGTGCATCCAAAAACCAAGGGCATTTTTTTAAATATATGTTTTTGGGGTGTAGATAAAGAATCTGAAATCCCGTTTTTGGCGGTTGGCATTGGAAACCAATTTTTTCCAATTTTTATATATTATCTAAAATAAAATACAAGTTAAATCTTGGCCCCCAATATCCGTGGATTTATAGCATTTTTAACTTAGCCTCAGTGACCCTGGCCCTAGTATGGAATATATCTACTTGGCGAGCCGCGACTGAATTTTTTGAGCCGTGGTTTTATGGATTTGCCAGCCGTGATTCCATTTCTACGAGCCGTGANCATGCATTTGGAGAGCTTTCCCGGATCCCGTTTCAAAGGCGACAACGCCAACTGCTGCCGACGGAGGACTGTCAGCCGATTGTCAGGCATGCTCACGTCAGCCACCTTAAATGGGAGCGGAGCCTCAAGATAACCTGCATCGTTCTCGCGCATCTCGGTCATGTATTGAAAAAATTTTCTATCATCTGGAGATTCTGCTGACCTCTCAAAATCAGCTTGCAGCGAGAACACGTCTTTCACCTGTTTTAGCCTAGGATGAAATATCGGCGTCGCCTCAAAATGATCGCATATAATACTTGAAGTTCTCAAGGCAACCGTGTCGCGTCCTCCGTGCATATATGACATGGGACAAATAGAACCTACCACCGCGTATCCGAGAACAGTGCGATGGACGTATGGTACCTGTATCTGCTCCGTTGTGCTGGAAAGAAGCATGTCACTGTCGTGGCCGAGTAGAGCCTGTCTCTTATACACATCTAAAAAAAAAACACCCTTTTTTTTGGATGTAGTTAATCTGCAATAATACCCAAAAAACATATAATTAAAAAAAAAACACCCTTTTTTTTGGATGTAGTTAATCTGCAATAATACCTAATTTTCATTACAATCAGAGGAAAAAAATTTGTTTCCTGCATGTAGGTAGGATGATGTAGTGACATACCTAACCTAATCATTGACATATGGCATTTGGCAGTAAACATGATACCTAGGCTACCTACCTAGGCTATCCGAATATAAAATTATCAAGTAGGCTAATTTATGATTTCTACCAAAATACCAATAACTCAAGTTGCGCAATCAAGTAGGTAAATTGTAACAAGCCCTAGCCAGAGGCTAGCCTCAACCCCTAGGTATTTGCAAAATAACGACTTGAGTGGTGAAAAAAATGAGCTCTATCAATATCAAACCTATAATTTTTTCCAGTTTATATTCAGAGCCATGGACATTATGAATCACAAATTATTTATGATCATCAATAATTCATCATATACCTGTAACCTAGGTAGGCTGGTTTGCATTCAGGCAACTGAGGCAAGCCATAATAACGATCCGTAAAGGCGTTTTATTAAAAAATAGTTTAAACCGTCAATAAGAGCTTGAAAATCGCATAAAGTTATAAAAGACGAGAAACAATAACAGGCATCAAAATGCATTACAATTTACTTACTATTAGGCCGTGCGGCACGAAACAGAGACTGCACAAAACTTCGCGTGTTTACGAACTGTGAAGGAGAGAGAAGTAAATGGTTCTTATCAAAAATTGGTTAAATGTGAATTGCGACCAAAATATTTGATTCCGAAGTGCAATAACTTTCATGTATTATGTTTAATAAACTTTCAAAATAACATTGGGTGTATAGTTAAATTGCATGAAACTTTTGATGCACAGAAATGACTACATTGAAAACAAAAAACACTGCTTTTCCGAATGATGGGACAGAGTTTGAACGCCGAAAAGACACTTCTCCGAACCCGGCTGCGAACTCAAACAAACAACCTAACTTTTTTCTCAACTGAACCACTAATAAGTCCTTCAAAACTGAAGGGATCTGCTCGAAATTTGGAATCTAAGTATGCTTTATCAATGCACTGTGTCAGAAATAATAAGGTACTAATTTTTTAATTACTTTATTTTCAATTAGAATGAAAAACCGCGACTTTTAGGCAACTGAACCACTCGGAACTCCTCTAATACTGAACGGATTTGCTCGAATTTTGGAATATATATAGGTATTACATTGGAACGAAAAGTACACAAACACAGCAACGGGAACTCGGAGAGAAGCTACAATTTTTTCTTTAGAGATGAAGCAGTTGTTAGTTGCTGTCGTGCGCCCGAATCTAGAGTTCGGAAACGTTGCGGGGTCACCGAGATATGAAGAAGGCGAAAGTTTAATAGAGATTGCTCAAAGACGTGCAACATGGACAATTTCAGGATCGAAGGGCAAGTCCTGTGAAGAAAGATTAAAGATTATGAAGCTTCCAAGCCTCAGTTATCGACGTCTGCGTGGGGACCTCATTGATGTATACAACTACATGTATACTAATAGAATAGAATAGAAGTGTCGGCATTGAAGAAATAGGCCCATAAGTTTATACAAGGTCCCTGAAGGATTACTAGAATTTGAAACAAGAACACCGATTCGACACTTCAGCGAACTCGCGTGCGAACTCGCCTGCGAGCTCGAACTTCATTTTCAACTCTGGCACTCATAACTCCTTCAATTATGAACGGATTTTATTCAAATTTGAAATATAAGTAGATAATATCAGTACGCTGCGGTAAAATACTCACCGCAGCGTACTGATATTATCTACTTATATTTCAAATTTGAATAAAATCCGTTCATAATTGAAGGAGTTATGCGTGCCAGAGTTGAAAATTAAGTTAGGTTTTCCATTCGAGCTCGCAGGCGAGTTCGCACGCGAGTTCGCTGAAGTGTCGGACCGGTAACAAGAACCAACACCATGGGCCACGGCAATAAAGTAAAAAAAAAATGCGCTGCAACTTATCCACACGACAAAATTTCTTCTCGCTTCGAATCGCCGACATGTGGAACAGCCTCCCTGATTACATCGTTGACGCTTCGAGTATGAACGCGTTCAAGAACACACTAGATAAAGCTATTTAAAAATATATGTTCAGACTTGAAATGCCTAGCTCCTTATAGAACCCGGTGGAAGTCTAGTAGCTATTCAAAACTATTGTCAGTCCTGAAAAGATCCGGTCAAATGACACGAGATCTTCTGTGAACAAGGCACGAAAAGTACATGAATCGGCAACAGGCCACACCAGGCCTACTCTTCAGCGCCGACATCACCATGTTATGTTTAATTGAGTGAAACTCCGTAAAAATAGTGATCCACTTTTTCCCTTTTTTAACACGTGTTCATCGTCTAGAATACAAGTATCTATCTCGCAGCAACACTATAACAACAAAACATTTATTTTCATCAAATACATGTCTATTTTCAGCAACAGCACTTCTATATTCATCAATTTCACCCAAAATTCCAGCAACAGCACCTCTACATTCATTTTTCTCATATTTTCAGTTCATTATTGTCCTTGTAGTGCTGTGCCAGATTTATATATAAATTATAATTATATGCCCTGTCCATATTCTTCCTGTGACCATCGGCCGTACGGTCGCCACAGGACGTTTATCAAGCCGCATTTCGAATTCAGACTTGGCGCTTTCCCATCTCAAAATTCAGTCTTCCGTTGCGTTATTCCTATTTAAATGTTGCTGATGGCATTTATTTCTTATTTTCACTTCTTTTCATATTTATTTTGAGTTCCAAAGAGGATAATGAATGTAACCGGGGAAAATCAATCAAATTTATGTGTATGGAAATGAATTAATACACTCGAGTAACAAGGCTGCTGAGTGCCCTATTTTGCTGCTCATCCTAACGTAAAAATATGGATTCTACCTGAAACTTAATAACAAATTTGGCTTACAAAGCGAATAATTCTTTTAAATTAAATTTTAAAAAATCATTCAATTTGCGATGGTGAGGTGAACCAGCAGAAAATCAGCGGGCTGAAGCAGTCAGAGGTAGCCGCCTTTGACGCAGCAGTAGCTCAGCGGGGACGTGGATATGGTGATGCAGATCTTCCCCGTGGGTATCGTCTCACTCTTCTTCCCCCACAGGTAAACGCCGTACTGAAGTGTAACATTGAACATTTGGTAATGAACAAATTGTTTGAGTTGGGACAAAAGCATATAGAAGGTATGATAAAGTCAATATGTTTAAAAAAATGGGTTGCGTAATTGTGCTCTTACTCGTATAATGACTGACTGAGTCACTCTTGTTATACTATACGTTAACTAGTTAATATTGTAAGGCCATGAGTTCGATGGCATCGTTCAGCATCTTATGTGGGCAACACTAGAAATAAATAAACACTATAAATAAAACGCACCTGCAGTGCGGCTTCGCCATTCCAATAAAAATTGAAACAAAAACGTACGCAATAACGGGATTACCGTTCAACTTACAACGTCAACGTTAATCCTGCACCAATCGGAGATTGACCCGGCCACTGCAACATAGAGGAGGTTATCGGTTCAGAATTGGACAAATTAGAATGATTTTGATACTGGTTAATGGCGCAGGGACCCCGAAAGAATTTCGAAGAAACACTTAGATTCAGATCCGCATTCAGATTTTGATTTTGACTTTACGTCCTTGTCCTCGTCGTATTGGTACCTACGTGAAATCGACACTTTTAGACCCACTTTCGTACTTCCAGCCCTGCTACGAAGATGAAATTTTTGGAAACTTGTTCCATCTGTAAGCTTGTTCCATCTGGAAACACGTTCCATCTGTAAACTTGTTCTACCTGGATCTTCTTCCATCTGGAAACTTGTCCCATCTGTAAGCTTGTTCTATCTGGAAACTTGCTCCATCTGCCAACTAGTTCCATCTGGAAACTTGTTCCATCTGTAAGCTGATTCTATCTGGAAACTTGCTCCATCTGCCAACTAGTTCCATCTGGAAACTTGTTCCATCTGTAAACTTGTTCCACCTGGAACTTGTTCCATCTGGAAATTTGTGAATTTCAGGGCATTACTACCCGATTCTTTTCTTCACTCTGCGAGCCCGAGGCGAGTCGTCAGACACGCGAGGGCTCCCAAGTTATAAAATCAAGGCCGCTTGATTGAAAATGCTCGGCCGATAGGCCGAGTCGTTGTATATGTATTTGTCGTGTTTTCATTGATAGATCTTAGGTGTTTGCCGTATCAGCAGTGGCTTAGTCAACAGAAGTTCACAATGGGACATATACAAATCGATCGGGTTGAATAAAAGGTAATTTGGGTCTCAACATTTGAGCGAAATAAAACAAAATTATGATATCGAGTGCTCCATAAATGATTTCAGACCGTAACATTCCAGACTTTCTCACTTTCTCACTTCGATTCTCACTTTCGAGAACCAGCGCAGAATAGCGCACAGAGAAAAATGTGTTGCGTTTAATCATATTGTTTGGCATTGAAACAAATGCTGATTAGGTTAGGTTAGGTTAGGTTGGGTTTGATTTGGTTAGGTTAGGCTAGGTCCTTTTAGGTTAGATTTGGTTAGGTTAGGTTAGGTTAGGTTAGGGAAGAATAAACAAAGTTAAGTAAGTTTGGGTAATGCTGCGCAGGGTTTTGAATTATGGGTAATGTAAGGTTGGGCTCGAGATAATTACATTATTTTGAGTACGGAAAGTTTATTATGAGTATGGATGGAGTAGAGCAGTACAGGTTAGGTAAGGTTGGATAAGGTAAGGTATAAATAATTATGGTTACATAGATTATGGTAGATGGGGGAAAGCTAGACAAGTTTAGGCAAAATCAGCAATGTGATATACAGAGAGAGTAAGCAAGGTTTTAAAATATATGGAAGTGGTCAATTCTTTTGATGTTTTCGGAATTGCGTTTGAGTTTAAATACGATAGTGGCAGAGTGAGCTGATGATTGCTTGAGTGCTGTCTAATGTTGCAATTGATTAGATATGAATTGTGACTGTGAGTATTGGAATTCTTTACAGGAGTTGTTTTGGTGGAAGTGTGCTATTTTAATGATGGCTTTTTGAGATTGATTGTTTTTAGAAGTGATAAGATATAGAACTGTGAGTATATATTGTATTTGCCTTCAGATGGAGTTGTTTGTGGTGAGTGAATTGTTGGTTATGATGTGAAAAGAGTGCGCTGGTGATTGCATTGACTAGGTGTGTTATTGATGTGATTTATATTATTATATTGAGCTGTTTGTATGCAGGTTAATGTTGAAATTATATGTGTGAAAAGGGACTGTTGCGGCATGATTGTCCCTGATGTGCTGGTTAGTTGAGACTATTATCAAGTAAATGATTTGTCAAATAATTTCATATATACTAATATTGAAGATTAACTTCGTAGTTACTTAATGTATTTCATTCCGGACAGCGCCCAGTTCACAGAGAACATTCTTAATCTCTTTCAAATTTTGACATTTTAATACTGACAAGCTTATAGTTCATACCAAAACTGGAGGGAGCTCGTGGTAGTGAACGATTTGCAACTAACCCCTCTATAGAAGCAACGCTCAGTAACTTATTATGAATTTTCTATAAATGAAGAGGGGAAAAAGGGTAAAAGACTCAACTAATTTTCAAACGTTCGTTTCTGAACGTTGACGGAATAAGGGTGCATCGTTATGATTTTAGTATGGCAATTGATCGAACAGAAGCACTCATAATATACGATCGCGCTTTATACGAATGTTCAATTCGGCGAATATCAGAATACAGT